TTGTTTTATTTTCTCCTAAGTCACATCATTTCAATAAATTTTCATCATTTCAATGAAGAGGAGGTAATCACTGTACTACAAATAATTTTCACCAAATGATCAAAATATTCCACAATTTCACTAGATTTACCCTTGATTTGGCTCTGAACATATACTTAGTAGCCTTCTTAAAGATGTTTATTATAAATTTAACCCAGACGTATCTATTTTCGCTCTCGAAACAACCACTTCTTAAATATTGACAAGGCTTGAAGCTGAGAATTTATGTATTAGATATATATAATAGAGTACAAGGTTTGGCACTTAAACTTAAAGCAGCACATAGCTTTGCATACAGAGACCAGTGTTTGTTTCGTTTCATGCTGTCACGTAGTCCATATCATCAACCTTAGAGATTGCTCTTTGATACAAAGTACAAAAGTAATATTCTCTCCACAGCAGCTTTAGCCATTTGATATACACTTTATAACTCGGCTTGTTTTAAGTTTCAATCAGGTATTATTTGGTTTCATAGCTTTAAGCTTGTTAGTGCATTACCTGACTATTATTTTCAGATTTACATTTACCTAAGAGGCTTGGTTGATCCATGTATTTTTGGATGAATTACTTTGACGAGAGCATTTGAATGTGGATGTGAAATGTTGTATATGTTTATTACTGATAAGGTATATGGATAGTAAATTGAATGAGGCATTGAATCGCACTTGTGCCCATTATCATGCCTCTAAATGCAGTTCACATGCACTCTGAAAATGAGAACAAAATATGCAATTCATGAAATGAATAGATAATAGAAGTATGCAGAAATAGATCAAACATGTAAAGAATTCCCCAGTCAATACATTTCTGTCAGTGAATAGCTGCAATGGTTACGTTTCCCTTCACCTTCAACCCGAGATGAAATTAAACTTATTGTACTGCATTGTACATCATAACAAGTGCACCAGGTAAATCTGTTGAAAATCTTTGGAGATCTGATAAGTAATTAATACACAGTGGTTCCTGTATCAGATCAGTTGAAGATACAGCTACAAGTTAATGCTATAACTGTCAGAGCATCATTCCTGCCCTTGGAGCCATGACTGGAGGGATCCATCAAGGGTGCATTCAGAGCAAAGTTAATCCGTGGATGAACAGATCTGCAGATAAATATATAACCCACCCGCTTGAAAGCTTGCTGCAAAATGATCCCATAAGAGACACTGAATAGATTCCCCGCGGGGATTGCACGGTAAGTTTTCAAGTGGGTCGGCCATATTTGATCCAGGGATCTGTTAGTGTGCGAATCCAATTTGGTTGTGAATGCGGCCTGAGTTCAAGACTGAGTGACATGGCGGAGCTATGCTTAGCATGTGGTTTACATGTGTGCACTGTTAGCTAGGATAACATGCCATGTGATAATTTGAGGAGGAAGGTGGTTCCCTTCTGCTCGGAGACTTGCCAGCATTTTCAGCATAGAAATACATGCTAATATGTAATATACTGTATATTATGAAATGGATACGTGATATACATACACTGATACAGTAAAAAAAAAAAATGTAAGACATTCCATCCATGAAAACAAAAGTTTAAAAAAGAAAGAAAGAACGAAAAAAATGTTTGGATTTCCATCTATGAAAACATCAAAACCAGATAGAAAGCTGTTTAGATTTCTATTCATGAATAGCAGATTGGAAGTCAAAGGAGTTGAGATAATGTCCACTGCACTGCTGTTCTCACTATGGAGACAACTGGGGTATCCAGATTAACTGCATTGCAGCCTCCACCTTGTCAGCTTGCCTCTAAAGGCTCATTCCCAATAAAACTGTCATTCTATGTAGATCAATCCAACTCCATGGGGACTTTTTCTCAATGCAATCTGTTTTACAGATTAACACCTCTTGTTTCCAACGTATTGGTATAAACACCAGCTTTTCTATATTTTATTCAATGCCAGGAGAGGCATGTCATTTGGTTTAATGTGATTATATTCATTCAGCAAGAATACCTGACGGGTTGGGTTGATCTATGGAGAACAATCATTTCATTGCGAATGAGCCCTAAGAGGTTGAAATTGTCAAGAAGAAATTAGCTTTCCTGAAATGCAGAAATAGTTATTTAATGAGAAGAACGGAATGTTTTATCACTGGGGGTTCTCCTTTGCCTTTTCACTTTCCAAGTTTGATTTTAATTCAGGTACATGAGTATGAATGCTTAGCCAAAAAGAAGCTAGAGCAAATAAAATTTGGTTCAAAATTATTACCAGTTTCTCCCTTGGGTTATTTTGAAAGCTGATCCCAGAAAAAAAAAAGAGATAATCTTTCCTCAAACAGCAGATTACCAGTTCAGCTTCAGGCATATCAACAGCTGTAACATACAGGTAAACACACACCTTC